CTCTTGCCCAGGATGGCTTCTAATTGGTCACTGAAGATCTGGTTGGCTGCGCAGATTAAAATAACACTGCTTTGGTGGCCGTAGATCCAGGTAGGTAGCCGTGTTGCTCTGAAGCACAAGAACAAAGTTGGAGTTTGGTGGCGACTTGAAGACCAACAAAGTTTAATTTTGGGCATAAGCTTTCATGTGCAAGCACACTTCTAAAGGTAAAGGCAAAGGTTCCCTTGCTCGAAAGCCAGTCGAATCCGACTCTAGGGTTGCGGTGCTCATCTCCGTTTCCAAGCCGAAGAGCCAGCGCTGTCCGAAGACGTTTCCGTGGTCATGTGGCCGGCATGACTAAACACCAAGGCGCACGGAACACTGTTATCTTCCCACCGAAGTGGTCCCTATTTATCTACTTGCAATTTCTTGCTTTCGAACTGCTAGGTTGGCAGGAGCTGGAACTAGAGATGGGAGCTCACTCCGTCTTGTGGCACCCGGGTCTCGAACTGCTGAACTACTGACCTTCGACAGCCTGCAGTTCAGCATCTTAACCACTTGAGCCACCGCAGCTCCTAAGCACACTTCTCCACGAAAGCTTATACCTTGTATTCAACGTTGTTGGTCTTCAAGGTGCCACTGGACTCAAACTTTGGTTTGGTGGCAATGTTTGCTTTGTTTAAGTTACCCCTCTGCACTCGGACTTCCTCTGGGTGTGAGTGTGGCTCCACCCCCGGCAGGAGCCATTTTGCAACTGTGCCCATGACTCCCATGTCAGAATCCCAAAGGGGTCCTCAGGCTGAAAAAGCAGGGCACCCCTGCTCTATGGCATCACATCCCCACTGACTGCTTGATGCAGGAAGAAGCTCTTGGTCACCTAGCCCAATCTTGTTAGATCTTGGAAGCGAAGCAGGGTCGGCCCTGGCAAATATTTGGATGGGAGACCTCCAAGGAATACCAGGGTCATGACACAGAGGCAGACACTTCTGAACATCTCTTGCCTTGGAAACTCTATGCGGTTGTCATAAGTCAGCTGTGCCTCCCCCCCAATGGCCACTGGGCCCCTATTGAATTTGTTGCAACTAATATAGCCCCCCCTTCTGGAATTACCAGCATGGAAGCTGCACTGTTATGTAACTGTATACTGCTCTGAAATTAATGCTGTAAACTATCATTACTTCTTGTACATCTCACTGCAAGCTATTACAATGTATGAGAAGTAATGTTAGTTTACAGAATATATTAAGAATCCTTTTTAACACAGCGTTTTGTAGTTCCTTTTGAAATTAACGCCACACTTTTATGTTCATACCAGTAACATTTCCACCCTCCTATTTTTATTTTTGCGTGGGGGTGGCTATTTGTGTTTGCGTATGTGTGTGCTTGCATGCCTGGAAGTCATGGTGACTTCTGGCGACCCCTAGTGGGGTTTGGACGTTTCAGAGAGGTGGCTTGATAGCCTGTCTCTGCGTCTCGAGCCCTGGTATTCCTTGTAGGTCTCCCTTCCAATTACCCAGGGTCGGCAAACTTCACCTAGATGGCGAAAGCTGCTGCAGCTGCCATCACTGTCTTTGCCAGGCCACAACGTGGAGTCGGGAGAAGGGGGTGCAGGACCAGCTGGCTGGATGAGAAGGCAGGCATGGTGCAGCATGGTGAGGTGCGGTACAGCAAAATTGATACTTTCACAAAAAGTATCCTAAGTTTTAAAAAAGTTTTGATAAAGAATTTTGTCAGCCATGGCTGTAAATTAAGGGGGCGTGCCCCCCAAATGCCCCACAGTGGCTACAGTCCTGTCAGGGCTCCACCCTCCTTTCTGGAGTGGACCATGGTATTTGAAGAATTATGCATGCACACAAAAGTTTATACCCAGAATTAAACTTCATGGGTCTTAAAGGTGGCACTGAACTCAAATGTTGTTCTACTATTCCTAAAGAGTACTATGTAGTGCTTCCCCCCAGACATTCCTTCTGGCCACCCACTCCCGGCACAAACACCGTATGAAAAATCAGCTTGGCTGGTTCCAGGGGCCTTGGGATGACCTGGCCTTCTGGAGTTTAATCCTCCCACCCCACCCAAACCCTGCACTTGTGCTTTTAACCATAACTCTTAACCATGGACATCAGCAGGCAGTAGCAGCTCTGTACATAATGACTTATTTAGCCCTCTGTTGACAATAAAAACTTCATGCAAAGGACTGGCAACTCGAGTTTGGGAAATTCACCAGATCTTGGAAGCTAAGAAGGGTTGGCCCTGGTTGTTGTTGTTGCCATCATCGTCATCATCAGGGCTTTTTTGTAGAAAAAGCCCCGCAGGAACTCATTAGCACAATAGGCCACAGCCAACAACAGAAACTCATTAGCATATCCAGCCACACCCATGAGCATAGCTCATTAGCATATTAGGCCGCACCCCCATGTTACCAGAAGTGTCGACATCCAGCCACACCCACCTTTTGCTTCTTATTCCGTTTACCTTGTTTGTTGTCAAAATCTAGGGCTTTTTTTGTAGCAAGAACTCCTTTGCATGTTAGGCCACACCCCTAATGTAGCCAATCCTAATGAGTTTCTGTTATTGGGTGTGGCCTATCATGCTAATGAGTTCCTGCTGGGCGTGGTCAAATGGGAGGCAGCTGGAACTCCGTTCCTCTGCGTTCCTGCCCAAAAATAGCCCTGGTCATCATCCTCATCAACATCATTTATTGAATTTCTGAATCACCCACTCCCTGAGTACACAGAGCTCTGGACAATTTACAACAGGTTAAAGACAAACAAAAAATACAGATTAAAATCAGCAAATCAATTATTCCTAATCTAATAATCTCTGGATGGTGTTCGTAATTTAATCTAAAACCTACTCTGGACTGTTCTTCTGTCTTGTGGGCAGGTTAAGGAGGAGGCTGAAATAGGCAGGATGGAAGAAAAGAGGAGGGTGCCAGCTAGGATGGAAAACCGTTGCTGCCCTCAACCAAATGTCTGGATGGGAGGCCACCAAGGAAGTCCAGGGTCAGTACGCAGAGGCAGGCAATGGCAAAACACCTCTGAACGCCTCTTGCCTTGAATGGGGTTGTCATAAATCAGCTGAGACTTGATGGCATTTTACACACACATGGAGTTACTCCAGTCTACGCCCGCAGATTTTAGTACAGCAATGTGACGTAGTACTGCTTAGCAATACTATAGATTCAGGTGGGTAGCCGTGTTGGTTTGAAGCAGCAGAAGAAAGTTTGAGTCCAGTGGCACCTTTAAGACCAACAAAGTTTTATGCAGTGTATAAGCTTTCATGTGCACGCACACTTCCTCAGATACATTGAAACGGAAGTCACCAACCATAACATATAGAGGGTGAGCGGCAGATTAGCAATTAACATAATGAAGACATTTAGCAGATTCAAGGGCTAAACAGGAATAACAAGCTTAGTTTATACGGTTACCATTTGTTTGGGATTAATTCTGGGGGAAACATAGGGGGTACGGTCAGACGGCATGCTCAGAGCCGGTTAAACTGCTCCGGTTGTGACCGGATTATATTTGATCTGGATAATCACGATCACACTTATCTCCCTTATCCTGCCTCACCGCGCAGTCACATCGCTCCCCTGCGTCTACACTACCGACGCGCGGGATTGTGTGTCGGCGGGTTTTTAATTTTTTTCTCAGTTTGTGCATGCGCTTAGGTGCTCATCCGTAGAAGGGGGGGCAAAACTACCATGGTGCATGCGCAGAACCACCAGGGCGAATCAATCCAACCCCTCCAACAAAAGACTTCCCTTTAAACATTTGACCCGGAAATGGCCTCCGTGAGGTCCTGAACTCATCTAAACTCTAAAACAAGTGACCGTTTGAATGTCGGTTTTCTAAACATGGTAGCAGAGCTCCCCCTATGTGCGCACCGCCGACGCAAAAAAAAAAAGTGGGCGAAAAGCGGAAGCCTCTGGCAGCTTTCGAGAGGGGAAGGAGTTTAAACCGGAAGTGGCTTGACCCCAGAAGAGCGATCACACAGGGGGGAAATGCGGCTTTAAACAGGAGAGCTGAGAAAACACCACTTTGGGACCTGGTAATAAAATACTCCGGGTTAAAGCGGTTTTGAGCCAGAAACCAACGGCTGGGGATGGGAGGCAGATTTTGACTGTGTGATCGTGCATATAAAATCCGTTGTCGAACTGTCATGACACCAGATCAAACGCCGCGTCTGAAGTGAAGGAAATAAATAAAACCGGAGATTGATGGGCAGATGTACCCTTCTTAATTGTGGAATGCTGAGAAAAACTGACTGAGACCCCGCCATTATGCTCTACCTGTCTCCTCTCTCAAATGTGGAGGTGATACATAGCAATGCTATAGCCCAGGCTAGACCCATCTCCTCAGAAGCTAAGCAGGGTTGGTCCTGGCTAGTATTTGGATGGGCGACCGCCAAGGAATACCAGGGGCGTAATGCAGAGGCAGGCAGAGACAAACTGAAACCACCTCTGATTAAACATCTCTTGCCCTAAAAACAAGTCTAGCTCGCCACCTGGTGGTGCATGACACTAAAAGAGGTAGAACGTCTGGATGCCAGACAATCTTAGGATCTCCTGGCTATATACACACTGCCATACAATTATTATTATTATTATTACCACCATGGAGAGTTATTCCCGTCTAAAACAGCTGGAAATCCATATGTGTAATATCTGCATAGTTCTGGCATCGTTCCAGATAGGTAGCCCTGTCCATTTGTGTTGCAGCAAAATTAATCAGGACTCCAACGGAGTCTTAAAGGCCAACCAGATCCTTTCCATATCATCCTTCTTTCAAATGCAATGAATGCCTCCTCTAGAGGGAGAGATCACGCAAAAAAAAAAAAAAAGCTGCAACTTTATCGATTGCAGCGAAAAGACACCACGCTTGAGCGCAGGGGTACCCGCCTTGTGGGGGTTCGAGAAAGGGGGGGGGGGGGGGAGGAATCCTTTCTCACGTGACAGACAGCACATTTTTCCAGCATGGCGGCTGCCAGTGCGGTTCTTCCGAGTCTGCTAGGCGGTAGCGGAAGTGAGGGGTTGGAGGCAGCGTGAGCGAGCCTGAAAGGAGAGGCTGAGCGGAGTGGGAGATCCAGGCAGGTCGGTGGAGGGGAGGACGGGGGGGAGTTGCGTGGGCGAGCGGGACTTAAACGTAGAGAAGGAAGAGCCGCAGCCCAGTGTCTGCAAGAGCACGACGGGTGGTGATCTGAACCGGGGAGGCAGAGAGACACATAGGGGCTAGGGCAAGGCTGAGAAGTCTGCAGGGCGCAGGTGGGGTTTCTGCCCCGTCGCAGGCGACTCGCCCAGTGGATCTGCTCTGGAAACTATACTCGTGAAAGAGCAATAAATACACAGACAGGTGTTTTGTGGTACTGGCCAACAGTATTTTTATTTTGGTTGCATGCGACTTTATATGGCTATCTTATCTTCCCCCCCCTTCCGTGAAAAGGCAGTGTTCCTAAAACCAAGTCACCTGTAGGAGACTTGAGGTGTAGCTGTGGGAGGGTGGGGTGTCTGATGCAATTGATAAATGCCTAAGAATGAGAAAGGATCCTGGCGTTCAGTCTAACACTGACTACATTAGATGTCAGTTCAGTTTTGAGGTGTGTGTAGCATTGGTCCCGTGCTTGGGTGTGTTTCCAGGATTCCAAAAACTCCTGTCTAGCCTATTCTATTGCTAGGTAGCTCTTCTTTGAGGACTCAGGTGTAATCCCATAGGTACGGCTTGTATTCCTCTGTTTATAAGTCTTTTATCTTGCAACTGCCCGTTTCTAGACTTATTGAGTGAGTTGAGGTTTTTGCATTCAATCTTTGTTTCCTTGATTTGAATAGAATGGTTTTTGCTTTGTCAGACTTGCCCGTTTCTCTTGTATCGGATCATAAAAGCCAAGGATAACCCTTTTGAGCTTGGCTGAAGGGTAAACCATGCTTGTCCTCCAAAGCTGGTCCTTTAAGAGGTGGTTCCTATTTTACAGGGGCTGAAACTGAAACGTTACTTGCCCAGGGACACCCAGTTTGCAACTTTACTGGCATTGCCCAATGACCTGTGATGTTGATGAAATTTTTAGTCAAATGCAAAAGCTCTTTACAGTAGACCCTGCACCAGTAAGCAGAAGGAGCTCCCCACATTATCATCTGAAATAATGTTACACTGTGAAAGCCAGTTGATGCAAAATAATAGAAATGCTTGAGAAATAAAGTTAGCGAGGGATGGTGAGGAGTTTAAGCTTTTCCTTCTGATTTTAATTATTAGTAAAGAATCATCACCCCGTGGAACTGTGATGTGGTGGTGATATTATTTTAAAAATATTTTATCCCTGCTTTTGTTGGCCGAAAACTGTCTACCAAAGTAAATCCAAGGGGGGCGAAATGGAATACAAATAAGAATTCACCCAATACAAAATATTTGTGTGGAGGGAACTGAGTTAAGGCATTGTGAAGACTTACCTGCTTCCTTCGTTATATTTTCTTCATTTGTGGCAGTTGAATGGAGGAGGCGCTCAGCTAGATGCGCCTAGAAAGTGATTGGCTATGGGTTTGATAATCTAAGAGCTAACTCTTGGGACATTTTGGCTGTAGAGAGGGTTTTGTGAAAGCTGTGATTCAAGTATGAGGTTTTCTTAAAGGTAGTCTCCCTTCTGGCTGTAATGTTCTTAGAGAACTCTTAATGATAGGCCCTTTTTATATATATATAAAAAAATCCCTGTGAGACATTGTTGTAGCCTAGCAAAACACTGATGTAGAACGTTTTCAAACTATCTTATAAAGAAGAGACAGCTCGACAGACTGGTAATTCTTGTTTGCCGGTGCCTGGAGAGTGTAGAGATGGCCAGGAGGGATGCTTACAATCGGTGGTGCAGTTAATGTAACTTTAGATTCTGGGCTTAGTGGTGTGATTTTCACACACACAGACCACAATTATAATGTACAGTTCAGATGTGAACCTACACCCCTGTTGAGCCCATGAACTGGGGCCTCCAACCTTCAGTCCAAAGTATTGCCCTGATGGCGCTGTTGTTGGGTGTTAGCATCACCAAATAACCTCACATATTTGGACTCATGTGGGTTAGCTCCCCCGTTGTCTTTATCATCGTCCTTTCTTGTTGTCCCTGCCCAAATCATCCTCGAGGGCTAGTCTCCATCACCGCTACAGTCATCTTTAGCTTAGCCTGGCTGTCAAGACTGCAGAGGTCAGGTTACTTTTATAGTCCCCCTCCAAATGCTTTAATATTTCTGCCGGCCCTTCATTGTAAATTGTGAGCATCGTAAATGGTGACCAAGCATGTTCCATCTGTCTGAGGCTGGAATCTGCTATTTGGAATGAAATGGAGCTTCTCGAAAAAGTCAGTTTTCTTTTTAAAATAAACTTTTAAAAAAGCTCTCCTCATAGTGTCCGGCTGTCTCTGTAGTACAGAGCTTTGGAAAGGGTCCCCTACAGGAAAGGTGAGAACGTGAATGTCCTGTGTTGCTCTCTATCCCCATATCTAACCTCCACTCGCTTTCCCCTGAGTTTCACCCTCTGCTATTGCTAACGCGCTCATGCACATCACTATAAACACAAAAGCAGTCATGCGGTTTCAGCTAGCCTCTCAAATGAATGCGCAGCTGCTAATTAGCCTCTAACGGAAGTATTTGCAAGCAGTTTTTTTAAAAAATCACCTGTGAACATAAATATTGGACTAAATCAGTTCAAAGGGTCAGTAGTCTATTCCGAGCACCCACCAGCTTGTTTCCTGTAGGAAGCTCAGGAGCAGAAGCCTATCTCCCTGTTGGGGGGGGGGATGTCCACTCATAACAAAATTTGCTTGTGGAAGAACATGCATGTGTGAGGGTCAGCCTACGCAACAGCATACACCAAGCACATGAAACTTGGTGCTAAGTCTTTAGGAAACAGGCGTGCATTACACACAACGGCATTTGGCCCTTCTTTGAATCTTACTGAAAAGCCACTCACTCTAATTGGTTTTCTACCATGCACACTGGTTTAGTCATTTCTTCCATATGGAATTCACTGCCAGAGGATGTAGGGATGACGACAGGAATAGATGGCTTTAAGTGGGGTTAGATTCATGGAAGCAAGGTCTATCAGTGGCCATGGTGACTAAAGGGAACTTCTACATTTGTAGGCAGTAAACCTCTGAATAGCAGTCCCAGGAGGCCACATCAGGAGAAGGCCTCAGCCTCTGTTCCCTGTTGTTGGCTGTCCAGAGGAACTGGTTGGCCGCTGTGTGAGACAGGATGCTGGAGTAGATGGACCACTGGTCTGATCCAGCAGGGCTCTTCTTATGTTCTTATGCCTCACACACTCCTCTCTTACAGGTGCTTTGGGAGAAGATCTAGGGAGACGCACATGATGATTTGAAGCACCATGCTGGTCGCTGCCTACGTCGCTTTTGCTTTCCTCCTGGTGATATGCATCGGCCTGGAATTCTCTGCCTGCCGTTCCAAGCTCACTGGCAGGTCTTGCGCCAATCCAGCTTTCTTGCGCTTCCAGGTGGACTACTACCAGGTCTACTTCTTGGCTCTTGCAGCTGATTGGCTGCAAGGACCTTACCTTTACAAACTGTACCAGCACTATCACTTTCTGGAGGCCCAGATTGCCATCATCTATGTCTGCGGTTTCGCCTCCACGGTGCTGTTTGGGCTGGTCTCCTCTTCCCTCGTGGACCGCTTGGGCCGCAAGAAATCCTGCATCCTCTTCTCCTTAACATACTCTGTCTGCTGCCTTACGAAACTCTCTTGGGATTATTTTGTGCTGATCATCGGGAGGATATTGGGAGGGCTGTCCACCGCCCTGCTGTTCTCCGCCTTCGAAGCCTGGTACGTGCACGAACACGTGGAGCGCTATGACTTCCCAGCGGAGTGGATTCCTGCTACCTTCTCGAAGGCGGCCTTCTGGAACAGTGTCATCGCCGTTGGAGCAGGAGTGGTGGCGAACGTCTTTGCCGAATGGCTGGGCTTGGGCCCCGTGGCCCCGTTCATGGTCTCCATCCCCTTTCTCGTGATGGCTGGTGTCTTGGCTATGAAGAACTGGGACGAGAATTATGGCAAGAAGCGGGCGCTCTCCAAGACCTGCACCGACGGCCTGAAGTGTCTCCTCTCCGACCGCCGAGTCCTGCTCTTGGGCACCATCCAAGCCTTGTTTGAAAGCGTAATCTACATTTTCATCTTCCTCTGGACACCTGTCTTGGATCCCCATGACCCACCACTGGGCATCGTCTTCTCCAGCTTCATGGTCGCCAGCATGGTGGGCTCATCGCTCTACCGCATCGCCACCTCCAAGAAGTACCACCTCCAGCCCATGCACATACTCTCCCTCTCGGTCTTGATCGTTTTCTTTTCCCTTTTCATGCTGACTTTCTCGACCAACCCTGGTCAGGAGAACCCTCTGGAATCCTTCTTGGCCTTCCTCCTCATCGAGCTCTCTTGCGGACTCTACTTCCCTTCCATGGGGTTTCTCCGGCAGAAGGTGATCCCTGAGAAAGACCAGGCTGGCGTCATGAACTGGTTCCGCGTCCCTCTCAACCTGCTGGCCTGCCTCGGCCTGCTTATTCTCCACGACAGTGACTACAAGACGGGCACCAGGAACATGTTCACCATCTGTTCCGTCATGATGGTGATGGCCCTCCTGGCCGTTGTAAGCCTCTTCACCGTAGTCCGTAACAATGCGGAGCTCAGGATGCCCAGCCCGGCGGGTCACACTGAGGCCTCTTCTCCTGAGCTCTGATCTTGCGCATTGAGATACTGCGCTTGGGATACAGACTTTGGTGCTCAGCTGTGGTGCAGTTGTCTTTCACTTGTTGATGTGACAGGAGAGGGTGTTGGAGCGGACTCTACACAGAGAACTCAGGGCCTCTGCTGAATACTGTGTGTCTTCCATAAGGGGAAAAAATTTTTTTTTGCTCTTTCCTATAAAGTTGGTCCACTTCAGACTGCTTGGTCAAATGTTGCTTTCTTCTCTGCACTTGGGAGTTCTTGATTCCAAGAGCTTGACTTCTGCTAGCAAACCCCAGGGGCTGCCTCTCATGCCACTAGCTCCCGCAGTGGTCAAGAGAGGAATAGGTGGTGGCAAATTAGAAGGACACAACCTCTTTTTTAAAAAACAAAAATTAAAATGAGCAGCGGGGTGATAGGTATTGATATTTATCAGCATCAGTTGGACTGGGTTACACAATATCAGCCAGATTCCGTATTGTCTATCCTGTGCTTTTATTTTAAACCATAAAAATAAAATGTATAAACCTTTTCTTCTGGCTTGATGCTAATTTGGGGGTGGGTGATCAGGTCTGGAGAAATACTTCCCATCAAGCAGCTGTATGCTGAGTCTGGCAAGGTCAGTGTGGTCTGCTCAGACTGGCAGCAGTGTGCCTCCTGCCGCTGTCATCCTGTTCCATGGGGTTTGAAGACTTCATTTGACAGAAGAGCCATATAGGCTGGAGAAAGGCTCCTTAACTGGGGGAGCTGTTGCTTAGAGTGCAGTCCTAAGAAAAGGAATGCCAGTCTAAGCCCACTGATTTCAGTAACTGCTTAGGGTTGCACTGTTAGTCGTGTTATCTGCCTTGAATCTCTGTAACCAGGTATGCTGTGAGGTAAATAAAACGGAAAATGCATTGCCTCCAGCTAAAGATGGGATCCACGGCAACAGCTGACAAGGGTCAAGGTCTTTCACAGCATCTTCTACTTGATCTGGTTAACTGGAAATGCCAGGGATTGAAGGTTGGGCCTTCTGGATGTAAAGCAGTTGCTCTGCTGCTGAGCCACAGGTTTGATAGTTCAAGTGTTAGGTGCAATATTTTGAATCCCCAGGTGCAGACATCGCATTTCTGTACTTCTGGAGGATTAAGAACCAGGTTTTTGATTGATTTCTTTTGCACTTTGTCTTTCAGGACTCACTCTTTTTTGCAGTTATATTAGGTGCCATTTTCCTGTGTGGGTATAAATCTACAAATTTCATTCATCGGATTCCCTTCTTCCACTTGGGGAAGAAAGACACAACCGTTCAAAGACATGTTTCTAGTCCTCGATTTTTTCCCCCCAAAGGGGAAGGTTAAAGTGTATTTTTTTTCAATGCAGCTTTTAAGGTTGTAATTTTAGGAGGCTGATTTGAAATGAAAATTGTTATTTTTAGATAGGCGATAACTTAGTTGCTTTTCTGGCATGCACACACGCCTACCTTTCCCTCACTTCCTATTAGTTAACAAAGTGGTGTCTTCCCACAGCTTTTAAAATATACTCCCCCAGAAGCACTCTGCCTGAGGTAGATGTTGATTATTAAGATTTCATTTGAATTGCATTCATATAGACTGAGAGTTCCCACTACATTTTGCTGAGGCAGAAATGACCGTGCATGCATGCTCCTTTTCCTAACAGCATCATGTGCCCTGAAGTTACAGCAATGATGGCCCTAATGTGCTAAATCCTGGAATTATTATTATTATTATTACATTACATTTCTATACCACTCCTTCCTGGAGGCTCGGAGCGGTTTACACATATACATTTAATCGTCTAACTAGGGCCACATACATATCAGGGGAGATGGATGCCTTACCAGGCACCTACGCAGTGTAGGTCTTTCTGTGGCGGGGTCTTGCTAGGACCAGGCGGTAGTGTCCTTCGGCGGAGGTCTTTTTTCTTTTTTTTCCGTCTCTTCGTCTCGGCTTCCTGGGATGGTCCTTTTATGGCATGCGGCTGCACGATGAGGTCGCAACTGGTCTCTGTCCTTGAGGCTCCGACCGTGCTTGCGTCACCACGCCTCCACGCCGCCTCCAATCGCCTCCCGAGTCACCTGCCGTCTGCCGCCGATCCGTTGCCATGTTCTTTCTGCCGGCTCGCCGCTCATCGATTCATCGCATCGTTCAGCCGCCACTGCTGCCCTCCAATATTGGCGAATGTACTTGTTGGAAGGCTTTAATCTTCTTGCCCGTTTCGTCTCCATTTTCAGAACTACCACAGTGTTTCCTTACCAGGCCACATCTTAAACATACTCCCGCTACACCACTCTGCTGCCTCCAGTCTGTTCAGTGTATAGCCCAGAGTTCCCCAACCTTTCTGAGCCTCTGGGCTGCCTTTGGAATTCCAATACAGTTTATAATTGAACTGTTCTTAGATGATCTTATGTGGGTTTTAATTGTTATTTATGTATTAACCAGCGTAAGCCGTCCTGAGCCTGCTTTTGTGGGGAGGGTGGGGTACAAATTAATTCATTCATTACATTAATACAGGGTGGTGGGCGCAACTACAAAATGGCTGCTGTAGGAGGCAAAGCCCCACACAGAGGAAGCCCAAGCGCAGGGGACATGAGGTGTAATTGTTAAAAATACACTGGGACAGAGGAGTGTGAAAAAGAATAAAACCGACACTAGTGGCAGCTCCCACCAAAGCAATGTTATTTTAATAACAAACAGAGAGCCAGTTTGGTGTAGTGGTTAAGTGTGCGGACTCTAATCTGGGAGAACCGGGTTTGATTCCCCACTCCTCCACTTGCACCTGCTGATGTGACCTTGGGTCAGTCACAAGCTCTGGCACAGCTGTCCTTGAAAAAGAGCAGTTTGTGTCAGAGTTCTCTCAGCCCCACCCACCTCACAGGGTGTCTGTTGTGGGGAGGGGAAGGGAAAGGAGATTGTAAGCCGCTCTGAGACACCTTTGGGTAGTGAAGGGCGGGGTATAAATCCAATTTCTTCTTCTTCTTCTTAATCTGTACACCTGGCCCCACACCCGCTTTCTTAAAGCACCTGGTGGGTGCCAGGAAAGATGTCGGCAGGTGGCGTGGTGTTTGAGGCACCATGTTGAGAACCCCTGGTATAGCCCCTTCCTGAGTGTGAGGGTTTATGGACAGAACAGTGGCCCATGGGGGTGCGAAGAGTCGGACTTGACGGTGCGACTGAACAACAAAAAGTCTCAAATATGGCTGCAGAAGTTACTAGATCACAAACGCAGTCTTACCAGTTCCACGTGCCAACACTAAACTCGTTTGTGGCATGGCGACAGTCTGAAAGAGGAAAAGAAAAAAACTCTTCCCATTATAGAAACATCCCTGTCTGGTCAACAGGTGGTACTTCTCACTCTCCACAGGCAGCCAGTTGCCTATGTGCCTGAGGTAAGGTGGCTATCCTGATGGCGGCACGAGGCAAGGAACAGAAAGGTATGTCTGATTCTTTTTTGTAAAACCATGTGTGAGGAAGTATAATTGGAAATGGGTGGACTGGCTGTCTAACTCACAGGGAAGGCTCCCGATGGGCTGCTGGCCACCAGGAGCAAACAGAGCCAAGCTCAGCACCTCTGCAGTGTCAACAGAGGCAGCAACGGTGAGGTGAGCTGACACCCCATCGTTGTTGCCTCTGGCTGGGTCTGAGGTGATCGGTCCCTGCAGTGCTGGCTTGTTCCTGGGCCATTTCCCCCAACTAGAATCATAGCAGCTCTTTCGAGATGTGTGTGCGGGGAAGGCTCCAGTGGCCACAGGATCCTTTCCGTCTCCCTGGAAATTTACCACAGACACACACCGGCTTGCGCACCTAGAATCTGAGCGGGTTCCAGGGTTTTCCTTTAGAACCTGGCTCCCAGCAGCTGCTGTCTGCCTTTTACAGCATACACATTCAGTTTGCATCAGACTAGTATTACCTGACCAACGAGAACCTGTAAGCCCGCATACTGCTGGTGCTTTTTGTTTGGGAGTATTCTTCACACCCACACATCAACCCCCTCAGGTTGGAAATAGAGCTGGCTTGGCCCAAATGTAGACTAGGAAGGCCTTGCATGTTAAGGCATGAATGTGTTGTCTGCCTGGGGTGTGTGGATGCTTGCCGTTCTGCTGGGTTTGTGAGATGATCTAAGCCCATGCAAGAAGTGTCTTCCATGCGCTGTGCGGTTGTTCCTACTTTTTAAGGTGGGTCTTATTGCACACCCAGTTATTGCACATTTGCACACCTCCACTCCTTAATAAAATGGATTGTGGATGTGGTTGGGACCTTATTGCACAGGGCATTAATATGTACTGATCTTTCATCTGCCCTGCAAGTGAATCAGCCAACCCAAAACTTAGCCAGGTAGCTTCTCCCTTGGTCAGACAACCTGCCATTTCACAGAAGATGCTTCAAGGATAGAGGATCACTGCCCACAAAGACGGGCAGGGTTGGCCGTTGCAAACACAGCTGGCCTATCTGCAAGTGAGGAAACGCCCTTCACAAAAGATCCACCACAGGGAGATTCATGGCTGCAACTCTGTATATGCTCAGGGGCTAGGGTTGCAAACTTCCAGGTGGGGCCTGGAGATCTCCCAGGATTAAAAATTATCTCCAGGCTACACAGATCAGTTCCCCTGGAGAAAAATACTTTGGAGACCCTGTTGATCTCTCCACTTCCAAATCTCCAGGAATTTTGTAACTCAGAGTTGGCAACCTTGTAGGTGCTTGTTGTCACTGATCATAGTTATCGTGTTTCCCCTTGAGAAAAGAAACTTCAGAGGCCCTCAACCCTGAGTAGCAGAATTTTTGTAAACAGGATGTTGGCACACACTATCCAAAGGCTGACATGGTATGTGCAATGTTCACTATTGGGTGAGTTTGCAATGGATCCTGCTTCCATTGATCGGGGGCAGAAAGAATGGGAGAAGGGACCAAAAGCAGCAGTTGTGATAGTGGACACAAATACTAGTATCTCGTCTGTAAAAGGGTGTTCAGGGGCACAAGTTTGGCTGAGGTTTACGAGCTGCTTTTTGCATACTGATTTATGTTATTTATAGTCCCTCTTTCTTACTCGGACTCAAGGTGGATTACACAGAGTGAGTCATTACAATCGAGACATTCAGTAAACAGTGCAATAGGATTAGAGTTGTAGAACCAATCAGAAATTTTAGAAAACAGAACTGAAGCCAAGCATAAGTATTAACACGACACATTAAAAGATGCAAAAATTACATAGTCTGTAAAGGCAAAGGTTCCCTTGCTCGAAAGCCAGTCGAATCTGACTCTAGGGTTGCGGTGCTCATCTCCGTTTCGAAGCCGAAGAGCCAGCGCTGTCCGAAGACGTTTCCGTGGTCATGTGGCCGGCATGACTAAACACCAAGGTGCACGGAACGCTGTTACCTTCCCACCGAAGCGGTACCTATTTATCTACTTGCAATTTCTTGCTTTCGAACGGCTAGGTTGGCAGGAGCTGGAACTAGAGACGGGAGCTCA